ATTGGTTGATTTGGTTTGTCTTCTCTTGGTTCAAATTGAAAGGGAAAGTTTAGATGTGGGTATTATTCCGCTGCTATCTTGTCTGACATTCTTGTTAGTGCCTTGCATTTCCCAACAAAATTGCGAGGTCGAAAGACACAAGTGAGATCGAGAGAGGGAGGAAACAGGATGAATACATGGTGTATTCATTGTCTTTCGAATACAATTGATACAGAATCCAAATTTAAATTTGTGAATACAATTGATATAAAATACAAATCTCTCACTTATATTTGATTGAATACAATTGATACATAATACATTTAACAGAAAAGACGAATGCATATTGTATTCGTGTGATTACAAATACAGTTGATACAAAATACAAATATAGTTTTTCAAATACAATTGATATAAAATACAAAACTTTCACCTATATTTGATTTACTACAATTAGTACATAATACATTTGAATGGATTTCTTCTTATGGAGAAAGAGAGAGAGAACAGTGTGGGAGGAGAGGCAAGGGAGAGAGGGAAAGAGTTTTCTATAAAACCCTACTTATAACTTCGAATTATAATTATTTAAACTATGATAATTTATCATAAATACATATCACATGTTTGTTTTGTTACATAACTTTTCCTTTTGTTATCTCTTATAAGTTCTTATGTTTAATTTATAATAGTCCACAGGCGTTCCCTTCACCACACAAAGTTGAGTAATTGTGATACATGATAGTTTGTGCAGTACTACTCAATACAAATCAGGATTAGTTTCTATTGAATAATCTCGGACAGCTTTGTGCAATAAAATATAGGAAAAGTTATTTAAATACACAATTTGTTTTATCATATTTTTTAAAATTTCAATCATCTAAAAAAATTATGAAATTTTCTACTTCTCCTACTCTCGGATACATCATTCTTACGTAATGTATCGACACAGGTGTGTCTTGTATCAACAAAGGTAGTGTATCGGGATGTGATGTATCAAGACGTTGAGCGATGTATCCGCAATCAAAATCGAGACGCGATGTATCGGGACGTTGAGTGATGTATCCGAAATTCTTAAATTTTAAGGAATTTTTGTAATTTAAAAAAGAGTAGGGATAGAATGTAATTAGCCGTTAACACTATAAGATTTTTTTAAACTATACAAATACATAATAGTTTGGGCTTCATCTTTCTGCATGATTAATAAGTAGAACAGGGGAAGGTATTCAATGAAATAGTCGAGTGCTTGGATATTTTTTCTACAAATTTTTTATACAAAATAATACTCCAATTGAAACATGATTAATCCAATAGATAATTAATAGGAAAAAATAATAATTTTTCTCAATTTTTGAAGAAACTTATTTTCTTAGAAAAAAATAGATTTCAAATTTTTTGGCTAAATGAGCATGAAAAAAAATACAAAAACACTTTTAATATAATACGTCATGTCAACTAAGTGAGACTGAGATTTTTTTATGGCATCTCCCCATATAGCATAATATTGTGAAAAGCAAAAGGTAGGTGCATCTTTTGAGCATGTTTTATGGCTCAGTTTTAGTACTTCTCAACCTAAGTTCCTACAAAAAGTGGTAATATTCCATTTTTTAACAAGATATCTAGTGTTATGGTCCCCTAGAACCTAAAAATTACACCACATTGGTTAGGGTAGATATTGTAGCATCTAAATTCTCTGGTTGCTTTTGGATATTTCACGTGATGGACCACGACTTGTACCTTGACAAGATAGAAAATATGCCACTTCCATCTGTACCAAGCAATGATCTAACCAGACCAGTTATATATATTCTTTTGATTCATTTCAAACTTCACCCATAGAATGAAAGAAGTAATGAAAACATTCCTAAATTCGATGTAAAGTATTAATTTTGTCATTGAATTATTGACAGCCTTAAAAAGAGGAAATGACCAAACTGGTCCTTAATATATAATGCTTGATTTCGGTCCTTAATGTATAACAAAGTGTTGTTGGAAATTATTGTGTATCACAAAAATTATCATAGTTTGAAGTGTGTTTTATGATATTTCATTTGGTATAAATGTATCTCTCACAATTCAACAAATATTTTTAGTATATAAAGCTATAAAGCACAAAATCTAAAAAAAATTAAATACCATAAAATCTAGCACCACAAAATGTTGGAGGAAGAGTTTATATTTTTGTCATCTCTTCCATAGAAAAAACACATGATGAGTGTAGATAGATAAAACATTGTTTCAATGGTAAGAAGGAATTCTTTTTGTATGACTAAAAATGCCGACTACTACTAACGAAAATTGTAGTACCTACTATGTAGTAAAATCCCCTACCTTGAGTAGTACTAGCAGTAGGGGTGTACAAATTAAACCGTAAAATTAAATCAAATCGATGAATCAAATCAAATCGGAAAAAAAAACGATTTGTGGTTTGGTTTGATTGGTTTGGCGGTTAAAAAAAAAAAAGTCAACAACTCTTGGTTTGATTTGGTATTAAAAGAAAAAAAGTCAAACCGAACCTAAATCAAACCGACATAATATATATATATAATTTTATTTTACTTATAGATAAAAAATATTATTTATAATCTACTTTGTTAATATATTTTTAGTTAGTTTATAGCTTTCAATGTTTATATATTTTATTTCAAATTTGGGCTTGTAAAGTTTTGTAAATATTATATATATAATTTTATTTTATTTATAGATAAAAAATATTATTTATAATCTACTTTGTTAATATATTTTTAGTTAGTTTATAGTTTTCAATGTTTATATATTTTATTTCAAATTTGGTCTCATAAATTTTTGTAAATATTATATATATAATTTTATTTTATTTATACATAAAAAATATTATTTATAATCTACTTTGTTAATATATTTTTAGGTAGTTTATAGTTTTCAATGTTTATATATTTTATTTCAAATTTGGGCTTGTAAATTTGTAAATAATTTATTTTGTATTAAGATCCGAAGTTACAATTATATTGTTATAGTTTTTCAAATTCGAAGTTAACAATTTACTTTGTAAATATTTCGTTTTGTATTCAATTTGACCGTATCCTTTAATCTTATTAATTTAACATAATGAGCGTTGATATTTCAAAAAATAATAATTTGTACTCATGTGAATTTTACCGTCTTGATGAAAATTTCTATTCATTTAACATTTCTTAAATTTAACTTATCACACAAGTAAGTGAATATATTTTATCTCTTTTTCAAACACCGTATAGTTGTAAAAAACCGAAAAACCAAAAATAATCGAAAGAACCGACTAAAATCAAAACCGAAAAAACCAATTTTGCATGATTTGATTTGGTTTATAGATTTAATAAACCGACATAATTGATTTATGTTTTTTTTAATGAAAAAACAAACCAAACCAACTTATGTACACCCCTAACTAGCAGCATGATGTCGCTATCTTGTCATGATGCATATTAATATATAATATAATATATCATTTTAAAAAAAAAAAAGATTTATAGAAATCAGGGAAATTTTGTACTATTATATTAGAGGGAGAGTTGAACTTTGATAATCACACAAAATAAAATTGTCACAACAATTATTATCTGTCCTTGGAGTTAACTTAGCAGCTATAAGAATATTTTAGATATTTAACATGTTCTGTGTATTAAAGCCTTCCTAACATTATGAATAAATGATAGAACTAACTTGATTTAATTGCTTAAAGAGGCTTAATTTCCTCAATTATTTATCTTGGCTTTTGGATTGTGCAGGTAAAGTTTAGGGGAGGAGAGAGGCAAGCGAGACTAGGAGAGGGAGGAGAGAAGCGAGTGAGATCTGAAAGAGAAAAGAGAGAGGTTGATTGCCTATTGTATTCGTTGTATCAAATTGTATCACGAATACAAATGATTTGTATCAAAATGAATGTAATTGTTTAAAAAAACTAATGTATTTAGCTACATATTAGGAGGAGAGAGGCGAGCAAGATCGGGAGAGGGATGAATACATTTATATTTGTTGTATCACGAATACAATGGATATAAAAATACAAATATTATTGTCTGAATATAATTGAGTTGTATCATATATCGAATATAATTGTATCAATCGTATTAATGAACACAATTGGCAGGATACAAATTGTCATAATACAATTGATATAGAATAGTACACAACTGATACATAATACAAAATACAATTAATATGGAATACAAATACATTTAATACATAATACAAAATACAATTGTCATTTATGTGGAATGTTTTTTGGGAGAGAGAGAGAGAGAGAAATTAGCTATAGGACCCTACATATAGCTATGAAATGTAATTTTTTAAACCACAGTGATTTATCGTAAATGCATATCACATGTTTGCCTTGTGTAATTTTTCCTTCTTTTTTTCTATTTATGAAATTACACCGAGTATGTTGTTGTCGTCAAACATTTTGAATAATCTATCAATTCTATTTGAAAAATGAATGACATGAATGTGAAATAACAAGTCAATACTATCAAAATAAATAAATTGCAACTGGAAATATAACAAATTCAAAAAAAAAAATCAAAAATTAACATAATACTCTTTATCAAATTCCATCAAAACATAAAATAAGTTTCAATTTAACTTAATCAAATATAATTCAAAAGAAAAGAAAACATGAGTCAATAACACTCATTCAACAATGAAATTCCAGAATTTAAAAAAAAAAAAAAAACTAGAATATCAACACAGTCGTGCTAAATGGAGAAAATAAAAAATAAAAAGAAAAAAATACAAGCAATTACATGGAATCACAAGAAGTAAAAGGCTGAAAAATGCGGGAAAAAATGAAAGATAAATATAAAAAATGAAAAACATATTTTAAAAAATAAAAATAAGAAAGTTATTAAACTAATAGAAACAAAAAATAAATAAAAAGAAAAAAATAATAATTAAAAGTAGCCTTATAATTACACATGTAATTACCGGCAATTCTCACCTCACCTTAGAATTAGTGTGTAGCTACTCTATCCTAATTAGACTCAATTTCCTGCTAACCAACTGATTATTTAAGCATATGAACATACCAAACTATGTAATTAGAACTCAATAACATTTCCCTGAGTATATCATCAAAATATTTAATGAAATCACATGGTTTGCGGACCTCTATGAACAAACATGGACAAGAAATACTCCATACAATTGTTATAGTTGCCTTAGCATTATTTATATAATACAATAGTGAGGGAGAGAATAGAAAGGGGTAGGGAGCCCCATTATCGTGCTTTTTAAATCGAATAGATGCTCGCGCATGTCCAACATGTATGCAAAGAATGAACCTACAACAATAGTAAACATACCGACAAGACAAGTAATCAATTATCATGCTGCTGCAGATTTCTTATCCTCGTCGTCGTAGACATTCAAAGCCTGAAGTAACTTTGGCCAAGACTCTGGAATTCCTCCAGGGAGATCAAACTCCAACAGCTTATCCCGCTTGCGGTAAAAGTCCTCTACTGGTTTGCTCTGCAGGAACAACATAAGCAGTTATTATGTTACAATAACATACCTAGTGTAACTCTGGAGAAGGTAGGATGTACGGACACCTTACCCCTATCTTTGTGGGCAAGCATTTAGAAAAGTAAATTACGAATGTGGATGTACCACAGTAGCTAACTGAGAATTAAGTTTGTACCATCTTGTCCTAAAACAAATGAGGAGCTGGGGTCTGGGGAGAAAAAACACAGTTACAGGAAATACAACAATAGGTTAGTAACCACTGCACAAATGAAATGCACATATTGACAAAAGAGGCCACTTTGGAAGGATAACATGCAATAGCAGCTCCAGCGCAATCCAACCAATCAACTATACTTCAACCCCAAACTAGTCGAGACCGGCTAAATAAAGGACAGGAGGAAAAAAAAACTAAGGGTTATAGAGTATCTCAATGCCACTTTTGACTGTATACAGATGTCAAAAACAGTGATTATCTTCCGATTTGACGTACTACAAGAAAACATAAAATTTGAGTAAATGATTCGATGATCTGCTTGCAAAACACATCATAATTGCTCAGAATTATTATTTCTTGAGTTGTGAATGGAACAGATTTTTGTTGTCTACGGAAGTGTGAAGAAGTTGTAATGTAGGAATGGGTATATTCATCAGTCAAGTACATGAAGAGAATACTTGCACAAAGCGAGAAATAATAAATAAGAGAGAAGTAGATCATACTGTTTCATGGTAGATGCGGAGGCGTTCCTTCACAACATTTTCAGTGTCATCAGACCGTGTAATAAGTTTGGTTTCACAATGCGGAGGGGGGAGAAGGGGAGGCATGTACATTCTAGTTTCACCATCATCACCCTTCATATCAATGCATGCAACATTATAATTGCCTCCACACTCGCTACAAGTCCTTCTTCCTAAGCACTTGGCGATCAACGCATCTTCCCGAAGCTTCAGATTAATCACCAAGTCAATGTCTGTCACTCCCTCTAAGATTTCCTAAATAACCAAATAACACATATAATAGGATCAGAGAAAATGTCGTCTATCTAGTTAAAGAAGGAGAAAAATTGATTAATTTCAGTGCACAAAGCAGCTTAGCCACTATCAGAGAGCAGTACTTACACTGTTGATAATTCATTGCTTGGACCTGTACACATATCAGATCTGTTTCATCTCTAGATCCAATTATAGGGGAAATAAAATTCCAAATATAGGAACCAAGGGCTGCAGAGAGTTTCAATTATAGTAAAAGTTTTGCTTGGCAGAAAAACAAAATGTTATACAACAGAGAGTAAGGTGAACCCACCAAAGTCCAAAATATATTAATAATTTAGCCTTCAAACACTAAACCATAAGTTTCAGTGTTTGCTCTTGGATTCTAATTTGTTACCAGAACTTGGCAATCATATCAGTTATTCTGATGGCAACAAAAGATATGACCTGACCAGCCTCAGACAAAAATAACAGAAATTCGGGGAGCAAGGGTCCACATCGTAGTATCAAAAAGTAGAAGAGGTTGAGAAGTCATACAGGTCCATGACACCACATGAAACAGACTTTTACTACGCCGGAGGGAGAAAGCAAGCAATAGAAGAGACATGGCTGGGAAAGAAAGACAGGGGAATGCTTGTGTTGGAAACTTTTGGTCCCAAGAACAAGGGAAACAAAGATGATCCTCTAAACTGGTGGAGACACTCCAGCAAGCAGCCCTAGACCCTAGTACAGGAAACCTTATTTCACTAGTGAAGACCGAAGACATCAATGTCCTGACTTTGCATAAAGCATTGCCAAAAGATAACTGGCCGTACCTCTACTTTACAGCCTCCTGAAGTTTCAGTAAATTATTACATTAATCTTCATCAATGTTCAACTTTTGCCCTTCAGATAATCGATTCAAACTTTGTGCATCAACCAAAAAACAATCATCAGGAAAGCATGATGATCTTCTCCTTAGGATACACAACTAAGGGATATCAGCTTTAATGTTACCAACAGTTTCTCCCTACCCTTGGGGGAAAGAGGATACTCATGTTCCTTACTTCCTTTCATATTAACTTTTGAAGAAAAGGAGTAGGGTTAAACAAAAATGTAAAATCCTTAACATTGGGAGGAAGATCATGGATGCAATCTTTATTGTCACTGAGTGTGGGGAAAACAGACAAAGAAGACTAAATCAAGGTTTCTTATTCAAACTACATATCCAGAAAACATATGATCACTTGAATTGGAAGTCCCTCATCCATATGCTTCAAAGAATGGGGTTTGGCACAAGATGGATTGTGTGGACTAAACATTGCAACAGCACAGTGATATTCTCAGTTTTAATCAACAGGACTCCAAATGGTTTCTTTTCCTTCTCAGAAGGGACTAAGGCAGGGGGATCCCCTCTCTCCTTTCCTGTTTATTTTAGCAATAGAAAGAATGAAAAAAGAAAGCAAGGGGTTTGCCTTCTGGGTCGAGCTCGTCGCACCAGGCTTGCCTAGTGCGGGTTACCTCTCCTATGTGGTTTGCGAGCTATTGCTTAGAAGCGAGGGGTTTTAACCTATGCGCACCCAAAGGGTAGCGGCTGCGGGTTTCCCTTGTCATCAAAAAAAAAAAAAAAGAATGAAAAACATAAACACAGCAAAACTGAGGGGATGGATAAGGGGATTCCAGGCAGGTGAGGAAGACAGTCAAGAGATAACACATCTGCAATATGCAGATGACACTTGAGTTTTTCATGAAGCAGAGGAGGAACAAATTCTGATGCTGACAGTGACACTCATCACTTTTGAAGCAGTGTCTAGACTCTATATTAACTGGGGAAAGTGTTTCATCTACCCCATTGTAGCACAATTGGGTATCTGGCAGAGATATTAGGTGTACAATAGAGGAACTTTCAACCATATACCTTGGCATGCCTTTGGTGCCAAAAGAAAATCAAACGGGATATGGAATGGAGTGGTGGAAAAATGTAAAAGGAAGCTAACAAATTGGAAGAGTCAATATTTTTCCAGGGAAGGTAGGTTGACTCTCATAACAGAGTACTGGATGTGATTCCCTCCTACGTGATGTCCATTTTTCCCATCCTTGCTAGTATGATCAAGAGACTGGATGCAGTGAGAAGAAATTTCTTGTGAAGTAGTGAAGACAAGAAAAAGTTCCAGCTGGTGAAATGGGTACAGTTAACATGTGCAAGGAAGTAGGAAGAGCAGGAATCAGAAACTCAAAGAAGCAGAATCAAAATTTAGGATGAAGTGGCTATGGAAGTTTACATCTTGTGAAGACATGCTGTGGAAGGTTATCGTAGCTAAATATGGAGTGGATGATAACTGGATGACAACATGATAACAATACCATATGAATGCACCGAGTGGAGAGCAATTAGGAACCTGCGGCCATTAATACAATTCAGAATCAGGTTCAAGGTTGGAAATGGACTGAAGGTCCCATTTTGGAATGATAAATGGATTGGGAACACCCCCTGCAACAACTTTACCCTGATCTAGTAGAGGAAGGGGATAGACTGGAGTGGCAGAAGGGCAGCACAGGTATTTTCTCAGTTAATTCAGCATATAAGGATCTAAATTGAACAGAGGCTCAGGAGGAGGATTCACCAAGGAAGATGATTTGGAAATCAAAGATTCCTTATTAAGTGAACTGTTTTACATGGATTTAAGCTAAAGAAGCAGCACTGACCCGTGAGAACCTGAACAAGAGGGGATTTCACCACTGTTCTAGGTGCTTCCTGTGTAGAGAATAGGCCTTGGGACAATCAACAATTTCTTTTTACATTGTATGTGGACAGATCAGTTGTGGAGAGTGTTCATAAGTCTGAGGAAGATTGAATGGGTGAAGCCAAGGAACATTAACTTCTGGAACAAGGTGAGGAATGCAGCAAAGAAAGAAGAGAGATGGAAAATTGTCTCTGCTTGCATTTGGTGGTTAGTCTAGGAAGAAAGGAACAGGAGATGTTTTGAAGACAAGCAGAGCAACTTACAGGGCTTTAAGATGATCTGTCTCGCTTTTTTATTTTTGGTGTAAACAGAAACTAATAGCTCAAACAGAAGACATTTTTGATGTTTTAGACTACTTATAGGAGCAACTGATAGATGCACATGCTGTATGTTTTTGAAGGGGAGCTACATTTTTTGATATAGGTTACAAGATTTGCAATCCTACATTAGGCAGGAAGTTGACTACATCCTCTAATAGTTCATTTTTCTAACTTTTGATAAATTGATCCCCTGCCATTATTGGCAGCATCCACAAATTTAGAAATTGGTCTAATCCCACGAACGATTGGTGCAGCAATCAATAATACAGAAAACATAATATCACATAAAGCAATTAATCCCACGAACGATTGGTGCAGCAATCAATAATACAGAAAACATAATATCACATAAAGCAATCCACAAACAAAATATTGATTAAGAACCAATAGAAAGAGTCTACCAAATAAAGAGGTTAAGCTTCTAATTAAAACAGAGGAACATATAACAGACCCAACAGTCCAAGAAAACCCTAAAGTTGTGACTGTTAAAATCACTAACACAATACGTTGAAATACATCACATGAGCCTTTTGAAACTGAAGTATCCACAATTGTATGGCCATTAAAGCTAAAACCCAAGAAAAAAGCTCCCAGACTAGTTAACATTGATAACAAGGTGATATCCAAATATTTCTCCTTGTCCTGTTGTCCATAACTACCAAAGCAAGGGCATAACATTGATAACAAGGTGATATCCAAATATTTCTCCTTGTCCTGTTGTCCATAACTACCAAAGCAAGGGCATTTAGTTCTTAGATTGTACTTTGCCTGTGCTCTCATACTAGTCATATAAAGGTAGAGAAGCAGATAATAAACCCATGCCTCAAAGACTATAATTTTATCTTTTTGAAATTGCTAACTATCGAAGAGAATTAGAATGTATCCTTAACATTGTAAATTCCATCCTTATTACCAGGAGACAGTTCTCTAGGACAGGATATAAACTATTATTTTATAACTGTTAGCAAAATTTCCAGCTTATGCTCATAGAGGAGTAGCGACACAACACTTTATGCCAGTCAAACAATCAAAGCATGTGCATGATGCTCAATTAAGTAGAGGCAATTGTGGATGATATCTGAGAGCTAAGTAAAGCCTTTTAACAAGGTACATCTGAGGGAAGTCTAATGTCAGTAAAGACTACCCAGTTCATTATCCACCGAGTTTAGAAGGCTGTGATTGGTCCAAAGGACGGGTTACGGACAGATTTCTCAGTTATAAAAAAAAAAGAAAAAGTAAAGACTACCCAGTTATGAAAAACCTAGCGAGGACATAATTTAGAACTTTCAAGGCCATTACTTGCATTGACATACAAAAAAAAAAAAAAAAAGCAATATCAAAATGTTTCTAGTAGCAATTGAAGAGAACATATAAGATGATGTACATGGCTGTTCAAACATGCCACAAATTTTGAAACTAATTGTAAAAAGTTGAAGACTAGTTAACCTTGGTCAATGTTTCACAAGGTCTCTCCCAATTAACAGGTGTCACTAGAAGAAATCAAGAAACAACTAATATGACACACATAGGCCAGATATTTGCTCTTATTAGCTCAGACATTTTCCCTTATCTACATATGAACATAAGAATTGGCTAATATATCTGATGAACGTATTATGCAGTTCAGAGTTTTGCTCTTTGCAGAAACTTTGACGTAACATACAAATAAAATGTATCTCATGTAAGATGAAGTATTACCTACTCTAGTTAGGATCTAATCACCTCAACTAAGAGCTTAATTCTCAGACCGCACAGTCTATTGAGAGAATCATATGGGGCTTTGCTGTTGATTTCAATTTTTTGTACTTTATTCATTCATTTCGTTCAACAGCATATTCAACTTTTCTTGAGCAAGCGGCATTCCAATTGCAGGTCCTGCCATAAGCCCATAACCATTAACCTGTTATAGTAATGCATCCTCGCTAGTTGTGAAACAGTCCTCAAGTACTGATATTAGAACGTTAATAAATTATCTTGCTAAGTTATATCCATAGCAAGCCTCTGTGTGCCAGATGCCAGACTGTGAAAGAAAATATTGGCCTATTAAAGTACATAGATGCACAAGATTAAGTCCCAGTCAACAGGTGCAACCGTCAAATTAAATAATACACACATGTAAGAAACATGATAATAGCACATGTATACAGATATGTGTGTGTGTATGCATATTTATATGTACGGATTTCCTTTAGATTAGTAAGCTATTACCTAGAAAA